CCGTTCCTTCTATGCTTTAGCCTCCAGTCCCCTAATCATCTTTGTTGCTCTTCTCTGTACTCTTTCTAGAGTCTCAACATCTTTTTTACATCGTGGTGACCAAAACTGGATGCAGTATTCCAAGTGTGGCCTTACTAAGGCATTGTAAAGTGGTATTAACACTTCACGTGATCTTGATTCTGTCCCTCTGTTAATGCAGCCTAGCACTGTGTTGGCCTTTTTGGCAGCTGCAGCACACTGCTGGCTCATATTTAGGTGATTGTCCACTAGGACTCCGAGGTCCCTCTCACAGTTACTACTATTGAGCAAGGTGCCACCTATGTTGTACTTGTACATTTGGTTTTTCTTGCCTAAATGTAGAACCTTGGTTTTTTCACCATTGAATTTCATTTTGTTAGATAGTGCCCAGTGTTCAAGCCAGTGTTCAATAGTCTAGCAAAAGTGTTAACAAGAACAAAACAGCAGGCCAGACAATGACATGGGAAAGGAAAACAAAGGCCAAGATTATGCAGAATTGTTATAAAATCAGCCCGGTTACTAACTGCATGAGCAGAACCTACCTCTGCTCCTGCCACAGCGACTAGTGAAAAATACATCCAAATAACACTCCAGGGTATCAGAAGGGAAAAGTAACCACAAAATCATACCTTAGAGCATACAGGGCATACCAGCTTGGATTTGAACTGGCCTTGGAACAGGTCGACAATGAAAGAGTCATTCCTCATTTTGTGCCGCTGCCAGGCCTCTTCTGCAACAACCTAGCAGTGAATATCATAAAAGCCAGGATGAGAAACTATCTTGCCAGCTCAGAACCTTCTGTGCTCCTTCTAAGCACATTCAGCAATAATGCAACAAGCATTCACCTCATCTGGCCGTCCATCTGAGTCTACCGTTTCTGTGTAGGGTTTGTTCTGGATCCGGTTCAAATCCTCGTGGAGTCCATCCAGCAGAAAAGCCATGAACTCCTGGGCATCATGCTGGGCATAGCCCGTAAACTGGCTGGCCTTGCTGGCTACAATTGCCTGTGGAAAGATTTGGATTCATAAGCAGCCAATTGTTTCTATGGGATTTGCCAGCAGGATCATATCCTTCTCTTCCCTAAGATGGCTTAATCAGAAGTCCATGAGAGATGTGAGTTAGAGGAAGTTAAGGAATGATAACAAAATTGGAACAATTAGGGCTCCCCTTGGATTAAATGGTAATTGTGAGCCATATTTGATTCCTCCAGTCATTTTTTTTCCGTTCCTGGAATCTACACCCTCCCAACTTGCATCGTGACACTAAAATTCATCTGCAGAACACAAACACACGAAGGCCCAACTTGTGTTTTTGAAGGACACATATGGAAAACGTGTGGACATCAAACTTCTACAAGGCTCAATGCATCTATTTCCTTTAAACTGTCCAAACTCCTGTGATAACAATTCACTATTCTAAAGGCTGCAGTATGTGAAAAACACTAGAAGTCCTTTGGAAGTAAGTAAGCCAAGTGTTCCTCTGAATCCACTACTTGAGGTGTCAAGATGATGCAACTTCTCAGGGGTCATCCTTGTCTTTTCCCCCACCCGAGCACTCTATACATGGACAGAAGACATTTCTGTCAGGAATGCTTCCTAAGTGGACCCACTTCGAGATTTTGGGAGAGACTTTCCTTCTGAATCCTCCCTTTAAGTGATCAGAACAGCGCTAACACATAGGGAAGAAAAGAAATTAAAGCACGTGGGAATGGATTTAAACTGCTTTTGTTCCCAGATTTTGTTTAGTCCCAGAATAAAGTCCAACTCAAGGTATCTAGAGCAACCTTAAGCTTCTTGTTACATCCCAGAAGGCGAAATAAATGGACCTAGGGGAGTGGTTCTCAACCTGTGGGTCGAGACCCCATTTGGGGTCGATCGACCATTTCACGGGAGTCGCCAAGCAAGGCTGTCCGCCATTTTTTCCCCCTTTTCCTGCGGATGCCTTACCTCCCTTGGGCTGGGCCAGCTGGTGGTCGGCCTGCTCCGTCTCTGCCGCTTGCCAGCTGCGCCTTGGCCGGCGCAGGAGGCGGAACCACGCATGTGCGGCGCTCCCGGGCAGGGAAAGTCCTTGACTTACGACCGGTTGGGTAGTCCTTGACTTACGACCGGTGTAGTCCTCGACTTACGACCGGTTTAGTCCTCGACTTACGACCGGCTTAGTCCTCGACTTACGACCGGTTGGGGTCACGGCATTAAAAAGGTTGAGAACCACTGACCTAGGGAATACCACACAATCGGTGTGCGCTTGCACAGCAGGCCTTACCTTCAGCTTGGAAGGCTGGAAGGCATGGTGTGTACCTTTCCAGAGTGCTCGCAACAGCACCGCAAAGCCAATGGCCAGGCGCCCCCCTGTTCCCAGTGGATTGCTGTAATTAATTTCAGACTCGAAGGAGCGATCTAGGAGGCACATACAAGAGAAAGGGGTGAGCATCGGGGCACTTTCTCAAGGTCACCATCCTGAAAGATAAAAGATGAAGACTAACCAGAATATATACAGATACCCCCCCTCTCCCTCCCTAAGTTGAGATGGGTCTTACCATGAAAGTAGTCCCGCAACTCTCGGGTGTTGGAGAGAGACTGGATAACACTGTTCATAAAGCAGGTGTTACCCAGGTTCACCAGTCCTGTAAAGCCTGGTAGACACACCTTCTTATCCTCCTCTTCCTCCTCCTCTTCCACACTTTCGTTGCTGACAGGGCTGTGGGTTATTGGGGGGACCATACAGGTTGGCTTAGGCTGGGGAAAAAAAAAAGACTTTTAGCAGTCAAGGGAATAAGGTTCTATTTTATTTTTTTTGCCAAGTTCATTTCTAGACCTTGTATTCCTGGCTTGTATCGTCACCTTTTGTCCCAGGAGAAAGAGAGCCCTCTTTCACCCAAATGGGTCAAGCCCTCTTAGCCCATGAAAAACGAATTCACGCCAGGTAGTGGGTAAATGTGGCTGGTCACTGACATACAACAGGAGTGATATCTGCATACAAAGAAAATGGCTGCATCTGTCCCAAGTGCTAAAGTTGGGGATAAGAAGATGCCTCTCATCACTTAATTTTTTAAGAACCCAAGTGCAAGGCTAGATGGAACCAGTTTTGTTATTTTTCATATATTCTGAGGCTACAGGATCCCTCCACGCAGAATGAAATACAGAAGGTGGTATTGTCCCACCCCACCAAAGTAAGGCATGTCTAACAACACCACAGTGTTTTGCAATAGGGTCGCACCCACAATTCCAATTAGTTGTTTTTCCCTGCTTTCCCAAAATGCTGACCCCTGTATTTCCTCCCATTCGCCCTCCAATAGTTGGGAAATAGGACACCCCAGTACTCCTCACAAGTTCTCACCGAGGGCACGAGTGGCTCCTGTTTCACAGGCATGTGGTCTGATACTGTCCGAGCTGCTACGCTATCCAGGCCACTGTCTTCTGCTCGCGGCTTTTCCTTCTCACCTGCTCGGGCCTCTTCTTTAGTGGACAAAGGGTGCTGGTTACTCCCAGGTTGGCTTTTATCCAGAGGAGTAGGGCCGGTTGGCATGGCAACCTTTGCACCACCCACTGCACCTTAAAAATGGGGAAAAGTGGGCTTGTGGTTAGCAGCAGAAAGAACCAGAGGGGAATTATGCTGCTCACCCCAGGCTTTCGTGATATGGAGTGCCACAGAACCAATCCTTTTCCACAATGAAATGCATGCCAGACGCGATGGGGCGAAGAACATGCTCTGAGATTGAACCAAGAAAAATCCCTGCAGACTCTAAAGCAGACATGTCAAACTCGCGACGTCATGTGATGTCGCAAGATATATCGGGACAGTTTTGCCATTGCCGGCAATGGGGTGAGTGCGGCTTCCAGATGACGCGTCTGGCCGGCGGGCCGGCAGTTTGACACCCCTGCTCTAAAGTGTCAAGGTTCTTTCTCAGGTCCAATCTATAGCTGGCCATACAACGGAAACAACCCATATGGTTCTTCTCAGGGACTCCTGATCTTAATATCCTCAGCCTTAAAGATCTCTCACTCCCGAGCGATGTGTACAAGGAATTCCTACAGGGTGAGTTTTAAAAAAATCCAGGTGCAGACCTCGTGTGGCAGGAGCCTCCAGGCCCCCCCAGCGCTGGCTGTGTCGTTTCTTCAAACAAATGTTAATCCGGGCTGCAGTAAAATTATACGTACATTGATCTGGCTCTATAAGGTTCCTGCAAGGCAATTCAACAAGGGAAGCAATGAGAACATCAGACACAGCTGAACAGAACAAAGAACTTACAACTGCCCTAGGCGGTCAATAAATCCAATAAACAAACAAACAAATAAACTTCTGCATTATGGAAGAAAGGATATCAGGATTGCTGTACTTATTTCTTTATGTAGATGAGAAGCACCTTGTTTAACAGGAATAGATGCTAGAGATCTCTGGGCTGTGCGCAGTTATACATTTTCGACCAACTGAGTTTAGATTTTTTTTTAATACCGTTATTAAATTTTAAGACAAAAAAAAATAAATAAAAACTACCAAGAACTAATATCCAATAAAAAGAGCAGAAGAAAAGAGAGGACAGAGGTATAATAAAGTAAACAATAAATAAAAATACAAAAAAAAATGACAATGACTTGTTTTACAGCAAATGTAAATAAAAGATTGAACTCTTAATTTATGGTTACAACACAACATCCATTTTTGTAACCCATTAACATTAGTAATTGTTAAATCCATATATCATCAGATGATGCTCTTCCATTTTGCGCAAAAAGTCCAAAAGGGGCTTCCAGTTAGCATTAAAGTTAATCGATGCTTTTTCCCTAAGCAAGGCTTTCAATTTCGACAGTTTATTCTGAGTTTAATCCAACTGAGTTTAGATTAATAATATTGCTTCCTGAAGAGTCAGAACAATAAAAAATCAAGCGTGGGTGAATCAATAGGTTTTAGGTGGGTTAGTAATCAATGTCTGGTTCTTGTGTCTCAGAATGGAGAAGGCGATAGGCACCATTTACGAAGCAGCATCAGCCAGAATATATTATGATGGTCTCTAGAATATATTTGCAAAAGAAAATAACAACTAGTCAAGCAAAAATAATTCAAATCTTTGATACCTGAGTTTGACTTGCCACCTGAATACTGAATGAGCGCTGCAGCCTTGGTGAAGTCGAAGAAAGTTGGCATCACTGCAAAAAGTGGCATAAATTATGTATTTTGCATTCTTTCCCTGCCCAGTAACAATTCCAGTTAACTTCTGGCTGCAGTAAGGAGAGGGATGGGTCTGTCACCAGTAATCGCCATACCTTGTTTGGAACATGAGGGTAAAATCTTGCTCCCGAAAGTGTACGCTGGACATCTCCCTGTGAATCTCCTTTACGTAAACATGTACTACCATGGAATCGTTTCCTTTCTCATAGGAGTCATTCTTCACAAATGTCAGATTCACAATGGGCTCTGGTTCTAGCAAGAAAAAGATAAAGCAATAATGATAACGGAACTATCTTAAACAGAAATTTCCAGAGAAATCATCTTGTGATTCAAATTTATATGTGTGGTTGTCTCTGGGGATAGGCTGTGGAAGAAAGACGTGGTTAAACCACTGGCCAAGTTTGGAAAACACTGCATCGAGAGCTAAATTTTGCATAAATTATGACAAAATGATATAACATGATTCTGACAGGCGTGTTCCAAGAACTATGCAAAGCACTGGACCAAATTCTCCCTTCCTTCCAGTATAGACAATTGTTAAGTCCACAGGTTAGCAGCACGGCACCTGCAGATGCAGACCCTCTAGACTCCCACAAAGCAATTCTAATTCTCCAAATCAACACTAAATCAATTACTTAAAAATCAGTTTTTAAAAATGGCTGAAATCTTGCAAAGACTATATTTTGAGCATCCTTGGCTTAGCCCCCTTTCTACTACAGCTTCTGTAACTCCACTCGGTACCATAAACCTTCTAGTGAGTCATATACTTGGTACATCATGTACTATCTCCTCCTCTAATAGGCAACGTCTCCTCTCCTCTCCCTCTCTAAAAACAGAAAGCATCTCTCTTTATTGGTTGGTTGCTCAAGTATTTTAAAATCAAAGTTTAGGGACACAGGAAGTGGTTTAATTTAACAGGGTTCACACACTGCACATTTTACTTCCATAGTTTGTTGAATAAATCACAATTACCTGAATTCATGTAAGAGAAACTTAAATAAATCACATTTATATCTTAGCACAATGGCTGAATCCAGACAACACAGAGAACTTATTCTACTGACTAGTAGCAGAAAGTCTCAGAAAGGCAACTTTCTCAGGTTACTGGTGATATCAGCCATTACTGGAATCTGAAATTTTTACATAAAACAGTGTAAACAGCTCTCTAGTTCCCATTTAACAGCTAACAATTATTCCTGTTTTTCAGAATGCATGTCTATCTAGTTGTCTGGGCCCAGAGCTGACATCCATTTAAGCCAGTGGTTCTCAACCTTTTTAATGCCGCGACCCCAACCTGTCGTAAGTCGAGGACTAAACCGGTCGTAAGTCGAGGACTAAACCGGTCGTAAGTCGAGGACTAAACCGGTCGTAAGTCGAGGACTACCCAAGCGGTCGTAAGTCGAGGACTTTCCCTGCCCAGGAGCGCCACGCATGCGTGGTTCCGCCCCCTGCGCCGGCCGAGGCGTAGCTGGCAAGCGGCAGAGACGGAGCAGGCCGACCACCAGCTGGCCCAGCCCAAGGGAGGTAAGGCACCCACCAGAAAAGGGGGGAAAAATGGCGGACAAAAAAATGGCGGACAGCCTTGCTTGGCGACTCCCGTGAAATGGTCGATCGACCCCAAATGGTGTCCCGACCCACAGGTTGAGAACCACTGATTTAAGCCACTAACTCAGTTTAAACAAAGTTGGGCAATCATGGTGTACCTACATAAACATTCAGGATCTCACTTTTTACTCACCAATACTAACGGCCTCTAAAGCGTCACTGTCCTTGGACCAGACTCTCGTTTCGGGATCTCTGGGTTGCAAAGAGGAGGGGGGGCCCTCCCTGAAGGCAGGTGCAGGGTCTACCCCCTGAGAGGCTTCAAAGGAACTGGCTGGTTGAGGGATTCTCTTCTCTGGAGAGGGCCCAAGCTGGCTGGGCAAGGCATCGGGAGGAGGGGCCACAGGCTGCTGCATTTCCATGCATCCCGATTTCCTCTCCTGAACCTCAGTCTGGTAATGTAGGGAGAAATCCACAATCAGATGTAGAAGTAAGTAGGATAGAATATTTTAACTGAAATATGTCAACAGATTCTAGCACACGCATGACTCATTAGAAAATATTGCTAATCGCAGAGAACTGAAATAACCTTTAATTGGAATAAGCATGATGATGCCCCCCGTCACTGTTTCACCAATAAATGCCTCAACTTGTACCACCAAATTTCCTACTAATTGTCTTTATCTCTGACCTCCTTGTGAACTATCTTATTTTTAACTATTATTTAAGGCAGGGGTAGGCAACCTTGGCTCTTTTATGACTCATGGACTTCAACTCCCAGAATTCCTGAGCCAGCCATGCTGAGGGGAAAGGGAGAGGTTTCCAAGCTGAGCCATGCTGGCTCAGGAATTCTGGGAGTTGAAGTCCACGAGTCATAAAAGAGCCAAGGTTGCCTACCCCTGATTTAGAGCATTAGTTCTCTTTTACTCATAAGAGTTTGCTCCAGTAGGAAAATGATTTCTGACAAGCAGAAAATGATAGAATTAAAGGAATGGTTGTGTGTTCTAAAAAGTACCTATCCCTGCCTTATATTCAGATTCTTGGGCAAGTTATTTATCATTGTTTTTGCTTTTTGGGGCTGGCTGGGCCCATGGAAGCAGTAATCTAGGAATACGTCTCTTCAATCAACGGCTATATTGTACCAGCACCCATATGTTTTCAAAACCCCAAACATGCCTACTGGCTGCAAAATATCAGACAAAAGGTGGTGTAGTAGTGGCAAGGATGCTTTCTTTTGGTGGTGGTGGTGGGGGGCGCAAAAGCTGCATTTAACCTTTGAACGATAATGCTAAGGACTGGTGAGGAAAAGCCAGACCAAAAATTAAATTAAATTTATAATTCCATTAACTACATATATGTAATATGATTACTCTCTGTATATTTAATAACATTTTTCTTTCTTTCTTTCTTTCTTTCTTTCTTTCTTTCTTTCTTTCTTTCTTTCTTTCTTTCTTTCTTTCTTTCTTTCTTTCGGAGATCGTCAGCTAAGAAATTGAAATATAAATACACACAAACACACAAATAAATAAATCTCTTACCATTAGCTGAAAAGATTGGCGAGATTATAGATGAGAGAGGTCAGGATCTATCACTACTGGAAAGCCCCCCCCCCCAAACAAAATCCTACCCTCACTCTACCCCCATCCTGGAAGAAAGTAATTGTAAACCTCTTCAATACTGTTGCCAGGTTCTGTGACATCAGCAAGAGTCAGGCATAACTCCAGAGACACTTCACCTGGTATCACCCCTGAAAATTACAAATCAACAGCAATTTCTAAATGGACCCTGGAAATCGCACCCAATGTTTTGAGATGACATGTAGAGGCTTCAGTTGTTCATCCAGGGAATTAAAATCAAATACCCAGGAATATTTTTTTTATATATTTGTCTTATTTGTTTTCCTTTGATGGAACTATAAAAACCACATCTACTACTACTCTCTTAAGCAGAGCTGCAGAATAGTAAAGATTATATAAAGCCTATCCTAATAAGCAGGGATGATAAAACTTCCCAGAGCAATTAAAAATGTTGAAGCGAGGAAGCCAGCTTGAAATTTTCTTCAAGATTAAATAGAAAATCTGGGCTACAGTAATTTCCAGTCCATATTCTTCCAATGTAAAAAGAAGTCTTGTTGGCAGAAGAGCTATGAAACGTGCCAATAGCCCAGCAGTATTTCTCAAAGTTGAGCAACAATAACAACCTAAATCCACTGTGAGATGTTGGTTTGCAGGTTTAATACGTATCCCAATTTTTTCCCTGCTAGAGGAAGCCATTTCCTCTGACATCAGGAATTCTTGATGTCTCTTTTGATGTATGGGAAAGGTCAAGGATAAACTTTTGATCTCAACCTTGAGTCAAAAGACAGTATAACTCACCCCTTGTTTCTTACCTTTAGGTCCAACTGGGCAGCCCCCTCAGCAACTCGATCCGTCCTTTGGCTGTCAATTTTTCCAGATAGCCCAGCGTCCCCCATGCTTCTGCTGTTCCTTTCCTCCTCAGACAAGCTGGCTTTGATACACGCTGCCTTGGTACCAGATCCAGTTGGCAGTCCTGGGTGGATAGGGTTCCTCCCTCCTACAGTGTCATTTTTCCCCAAAATTCGCTTTGGGTTAGAAGGGTCTCGTTTGCTTCTGATTCGCTCCACAGCACTGTCAAGCTGGGGTTCTGCAGAACTTTCCCCAGCAGAAAGGGCCTTCTCTTTGCCATTCTCCTTACACGCCATTCTCTTTGGATGTTCTCTTGAACCTTCTTTGTAGCGTTTCTGGGGCATTCAATCAAATCCAAGACAAATATGGTGAATAAGCAACACGTTCCTATCAGATTAAGTTCATCATTCTTACACGAAACATATAAATGCCAGCAAAGCAGAGAATGGCTATAGAGACCACTGAACCTGAAAGCAAGTGATGGATCTCTAGAGCAGGGGTGTCAAACTCAATTTCACTGAGGGCCGCATCAGCATTGTGGTTGCCCTCAGGGGGCCGGGTGAGTGAGGCCAGGGTGGGTGTGGCCTACTGGGTGGGTGTGGATGGAGTGGGTGTAGCCTACTGGGTGGGCATGGCCAGCTCTACATTGTTCGCGTCAAGGGTGCATGTGGGGGCCTGGGCAGGAGTGGGATAGATCTGAGGGTCTCTGGCAGAAGGGGGTGGGACTGGGACAAGCGCCATGGCATGGCCCATTTCTTCATTCCTCACAAAGGGTGACACCTCCCCAGCATGCACCCAGGGGGCAGGGCCGACACGGCAGGGGCTGGTTCCTCGCTGGTTCCAGACGACCTTGTGGAGCTAAGACTGAAAGCGTTTCAGCATAGATGGCCACCACAAAATTGTACATTGGCTCCCGGCTGGCCTGGGCCAGGGCCAAGGCAGCGGGGGCCGTTCCCTCACTGTTTCCAGGATGGCTTCGCGGGCCACATGAAACCACTTTGCGGGCCGCATCCGGCCCCCGGGTCTTGTGTTTGATATGTCTGCTCTTGAGGGAGAAGATGGCCAAGGGGGCGTTTCGACCCAATCTTGCTAGAGTTCAAGGTCTCAGGAAAACATGAAGAAAATGCCACAAATGGGACAAAGCTTACCGAAAGTGAAGCCCAGTTGTGCAAAGGGATCTTCTTTGGCAGCACCAACTGCAAGATATTGCTTTTCTTGAACTGGACTTTGGTGCAGGAACTTTCTATCTCCTCATAAAACTCACAGCTCCACTGACGGCCATCTAAGGGAAGAGACAGGGCGTAAGTTTCTTCTTTGGTGGTTAAGGAATAAGGAACACGTACCATAGCACTGCACCACTGCAATTGGCAATTGGCTAGCTGACCTGATGAGATGCTGTACGAAATCACACTTATTCTGAAATAAATAGGATGGTGCCTTGCTCTCCTTGTGAAATACAAGCTTTAAAACCTTTCTCCATTGCATCATTTTACGTTAGAAAAGAACCTCTACACAGACACTTCCCTGCTATATTATGGCAAACACCATTTATTTATATTGTAAGGGAGTGAGAGGTTAACTGGAACTTCTGAAGAACAGTAACAATTGAGCCAAGTAACTTTTGTTCCTTGAACATCGACAAATTGTTACTTTCTGTGTGCTGAATATGTTTTAATGGCAAAAATAGTGAGCATATGAAGGCTTATTTTTTGTGTCTCAACAGCATACTGTTTTAATGAATGAAAATCTAAGCTTCCCGGGAGCCTGCTAGCTGCTAGATTACATAAAGAAGCTGTGCTTTGTTCTTCAAATCGTGAACGATCATAATTTTCTAGAATGCTTGATGATTACTACATCTCAACTTCTTCCAGAGACTTTAGAATGTCTGATCTTTATTTGCTATGATGGATTTTTTTTTTTTAAAAAAAGGTGTTTTTTGAGGATTCAGCTATGAAACAGCAGCTAAAAAGACTAAAATACTTTTTATGTCTAAGATTTTAATTTTAAAGATACTTAAGAATAAGATGAGATACAATAAAGCCTTGATTTCTCATCACTCCAGTTTTTTCTGCACCAAAAAAGGATTTTTTTTTTAATTTGAGGTTTTCTTCTTTGACAAGCTGAGGATTGTTACTATCTTTTGAATCATGAGGAAAAAGACAAAGTAAACGGGGCCAAAATAAAAACTGCATTTAAATTAAATTACAGTTAATATAAACACTTTATCGTACTTCAGACACATTATACAAAGAAATCTATAATGATGGGAAAGGTGAAAAGAAAGAGAAGAGGGTGACCAATGACAAATACATGAATTCAATGACAGTAGTGATGGGTGCATCATTAGAAGATCTGAAGAACCAGACTGGAACAGATTCTCCTGGAGAAAATCTATCTAGGTGGTTGCTAAAAACCAATAGCAACCTGATGGCATATAATCAATCAACCCATATAAGTAATTTTCATTTCCTTCTTCTGTCACATTAAAAGTCACAAGTTGGCTGCAACTGCAGGTTTCAGAGAGCAGATGGAGCCCAAGGGCTTCGGGTTATATGCCGCTGTTCTAGCCAAATGGAAAATTCCTTCAATATCCCTGGCACATATATAGTGGTACCTCGGTACTCATCTTTAATTGGTTCCGGGAGGCGCGATGAGCATCAAAAATGATGAGTGCCAAACAATTTTTTCCATAGGGAATAATGAAGTGAATCATAAGGCAGCCGACACTGACAAGTTCTAGCTTGTGCACTGAGTACCAAACAAATAATGAGTACTGGAACAAAAATTTTACGTCAAAATGCACTGAGTACCAAATTCGATGAGTTTCAAAGCAGTGACTCTAGGTACTCTCAATCCACTTTACAGAGCTTTTTGTATAAAGAATATTATTTAGAAAAGTTGTAAAAGCTCCTTTTCACAATTGCTTATTTTCCTTGACAATATATTTCCTGCTTATTCACTTAGTTTTCATAACTCATTAATATCTAAAGTCATACATTGCCGGGAGAGCTAGGCCAGGGGTAGGCAACCTTGGCTCTTTTATGACTCGTGGACTTCAACTCCCAGAATTCCTGAGCCAGCCAGGAGTTGAAGTACACGAGTCATAAAAGAGCCAAGGTTGCCTACCCCTGAGCTAGTGATGGCCTTTTTATCTGTAGGAGAGTTGGGACTCCCAAATTCTTGGCATGACCCATATCAAGTGCATTAAGCTGCTCTCCCATTTTGCCCTCTTTGGGAAAGGTTTTTTTTTTTTAATTTATTTATTGCTGCTGTTGACCAGAAATGAATTTTAAAAGTTAACTTTTTTTAAAGGAGAAACTATTTCTTCTTTGCATGCTAATTAAGAACTCCATGAATAAGGAAGGAAAGTCTGCATTAATACCAGGTAACTTGATGACACAACTGGTGTCTGTGAAAGACGAATCCACTTCTTCCACTTTTGGGTTCCTGCTGCCCAAATTCAGTTTCACAATAACCTCATCAGCATTCTGCTTCCACTCCAGCTGCAGGTCTAGGAAACAGACAAATGTCAATTTCTCATCTGTGAGTGATAAGTAACAGCTAACTTCCCAAAAAGGGGGCAATGGAACACAAAACAGACTAGAGATAGTTAGTAACAGGGTACACAAGGTGCATTTTGATCAATAATTAATGCAGAAAAATCATTGCCACACAGAATGCTGTAATGGCAATTACATAAACATTGCAGAAAAAGTCAAAGCCAATGTTCATTAACAGTATATTAATTTATTGGAATTATTGCAACTCAACAGTCAAGTGACCCTTGTGAATCTTTGCAGCCCATCTCACAGAACAGCTACAAACATTCCTAGTTTTGTCTCATATATGACTAGCTACTGGGCATGGTTATGCCTTTAGGTGGCTTTTCTAGGAATCACTGCAATAACAGCAAATACTACCCCCTTTGTGCCAGAGCACACGATAGGTTTCTAGTCATGTTGACTTTGCCTTTCCAGTCTCCAATGCCCTCCTAAGTGAAAAGGGCTGCTAGAGGTCAACACCAGACAGGACTCTGGGGTTATGGAAATCATGTACGTGAAACACTTCAAACACAAAATACTAAATATTTACTTAGGCATTGGCTCAAATCATGTGAAGATGGAATCTGTCAAGAAAGTGTGGCATCCTGGTTCGATCACACCCAAACTTTGATACGGAAAAAGATAGAGATCCCCTCAATAATATCGTATAGGAAATAATTCATGGTTGAGAAAGCAGAAGATGCAGGTTCTTTTGTGCATTCGTGTCCCCTTGCCCTTAGCTCAGTGGTTCTCAATCTGTGGGTTGGGACCCCATTTGGGGTCGATCGACCATTTCACGGGGGTCGCCAAGCAAGGCTGTCCGCCATTTTTTTTTGTCCGCCATTTTTTCCCCCTTTTCCGGCGGGTGCCTTACTTCCCTTGGGCTGGGCCAGCTGATGGTCGGCCTGCTCCGTCTCTGCCGCTTGCCAGCTACGCCTCGGCCGGCGCAGGGGGCGGAACCGTGCATGTGCGGCGCTCCTGGGCAGGGAAAGTCCTTGACTTACGACCGGTTGGGTAGTCCTCGACTTACGACCGGTTTAGTCCTCGACTTACGACCGGTTTAGTCCTCGACTTACGACCGGTTTAGTCCTCGACTTACGACCGGTTGGGGTCGCGGCATTAAAAAGGTTGAGAACCACTGCCTTAGCTGGTCTTAGAACATGCTTTCCATAGCTCATGAGAACCAGTAATAGCAACATCCCCATCTTAATCAAGCAGGAACAAATTTTATTTTTATGACTACAAATCCCCATTTCTTTTTCATGCATCTTTTAGAGCTTGCCAGCCTATTAATCTTTTAGAGCAGGGGTCCCCAACCCCCTGTCCATGGACAGGTACCGGGCTGCAGCATGCCAACAACCGGTCCGCATAAACAAGCAAAGCCCCATCCATGGGATGCAAGCAGCACACAAAACCATGCACACTCCGGTCCCGTGGAAAAACCTTTCTCCATGGAACCGGTCCCTGGTGCCCAAATGGTTGGGGACCTCTGTTCTAGGGTTTGTTAGGGAATTAATACTTATGTCAGAGAAATAAGGCGACGTTAAGACAATACATGAAAACAAAGTACAGTAGGTGGCTTGAGCTTCATTTAGTTATGCATTCTTCTGACTTACCCGCCACAGATTCCCTGTGCCAAAGGGGCTCTACCAGATTCAGGCTAGCAAAAGGCTCTGGTGATCAAACAAATACAGAGATGTGCTGTTTTGCTACGAACCATGCAAACAAAGGATTTTTCTGCTTCTAACTTTGAAACGGGGCATTCGTACATTACAATTTACATTTTAACCAGAATACTTTCCTAGAACTATCCATTGCTGCCTGAATGAGGGACCTACACCAATCAAAAGAGAGGTAAAGAAAGCAACTCAGAGAAAAATTTAACAAGCCAGACAAGAGTTAAAACAGGGGTGAAGACTCTGTGGTCTTCCCATTTGTTGTGGACTGAATGGATCATCAGTCCCAGGGATACAAGTAGTCCTTGACTTAACAACCGATCAAGCTACCCAGACCTGGTTTTGAAGTTCTGACATTCACCCTCCCCATTGTCATGCATTTGCAGCTGATGCAGTGTCCCGCAGTCATGTGACCGTGTTTTACAGCAATTTTGCTGAAAACCAGAAGTTATTTCTGGTTTTTGGCAAAACGGCAGCATAGTAAACTATGAGTTTGTCATCTCATTCATTTAACGACTGCTGCAAAAAAGCTTGCAAAATTTACTACCTTCGTGACATATAACTGTAATGGGCAGACTCCGTTACAGGCACATGTCGAGGACTACTTGTACAGTTAATGAGGAGTGATGCTACCGGTAGGAGTTTTAATCCAGCCTTGTGTGGAAGGCCCCATTTCTGCCTTAAGGAATTTTCACGTTCACTGGTTAGCTGACCTACAGCAACAAATGTTAGGTTTCGTGTCACGTTATAAAATCAACACCTTGACGGAATAATTTAGCCTCGCCTCCCTCTTAATCACTGCCCAGTTACAACGAATGCACGGAAAGTGTCTGCACCATGATAAAAAGATACACTTTGAAACAGGTCTCGCTGGGTGGCTGATACAAGCATTATGGAGATCACAGAGCAGGCTTGGTTAGCAGGGCTGTACCAGTAACTCCTGCTTCCTCTGCAATTATTCCACCATCCTGCTAAAAGTTGCAGTCTCATAAAGAGCACAGGCAGTGCAGAGCTAGTACAATCACTCACCTGTTTCTTTCATCACATAGCTGTGAAGGAAGGCCACAAAGAGCAAAGTGGACGACTGTACATTTAGTCTACCTAATATATTCTTCCATACTTGCAATGTTTATAAATAACAATATTCTGTTCATAAGAGTAACGCTTCCTTCCTCACAATGGTTGTATCAACTGAACAGGAATCCAACTTTCATTTTAAAACATTCATCAAGTCCATGAGTATAAAATTAAGCTTAAAAAGGTAAACTTTCCACCCTGATCCTAATCCAGGGCTTTTCAACCTTTTCACCCATTGTACCACTTTTAGGGTATGGCAACATCCGAGTACCACCAGTCGCCTAGCAAGGTGTCAAAAACTTGATAAAGTACAGGTAGTCCTCGACTTACAACAGTTCACTTAGTGACTGTTCGAAGTTACAATGGCACTGAAAAAAGTGCCCCCCAAGGCACAGCCGAGCAAGACACCTGCCTGCCCGCCCGGTGGTGCTCTTCCTACTGTCTGAGGTTTTCATTGTTGTGAGCATTTCTGTTGAGGATTGGCAGCGGGAGTGGGGTGGGGGGTGTTTGGTTTTTATTCCCCCGTCTGCTGGGTGGTTGCAGCAGGTTTTGGTCACATGACATGACCCTGGGACACTGTGACCGTCATAAATATGAATCAGTTGCCAAGCATCTGAATGTAAATCACAAGACCCTGGAGATGCTGCAACGTTCCAGCTGATTGGCACTTCTTCTGGGCTCAGCAGAAGCGCCAGGATCAGTGCCGAGTTCTAGCTGATCGGTGCTTCTTCAGGGCTCAGCAGAAGCACCAGGATCAGTGCCGAGCTCTAGCTGGAGCCGGGTGCTGATCCTGGCGCTTCTGCTGAGCCCTGACAGCCCAGCAGCTCCAGCCATCTCTCGCTCAGGCTTGTGTGGTGCTGCCACAGGTTCAGCTCATTCCCCTACCCCAGTGGTGGCGAACCTATGGCGCGGGTGCCAGAGGCGGCACTCAGAGCCCTCTCTGTGGGCACGCGCACCGTCGCCCCAGTCCTAGGCCTTCAGCTGGGTTTTATAAAACCTTTTCGCTTTAGGCCTCCGCTGCCATGTGCAAAAAAAAAAAAAGGTTCAATCAATCAGACAATTTCAACTTCTCGCGGGGAAAAAAAAGATCTTGCAAAATTGGAATTGATTGATTGTCCCACCCAGTCTGCTGTTACTACCACAGCCATGCCCAGCCAATGGGCCACGCCCAGCCAATTGGCCACACCCACCCGGCACCCGACCATGCATAAGTGGGTTTTGGGTTGCAGTTTGGGCACTGGGTCTCTAAAAGGTTCGCCATCGCTGCCCTACCCCACTACTTTTCTAGGATGGTCGCGTACCACCTGCCAGGTGCCAATGTACCACAGGTGGTACCCGTACCACTGGTTGAAAAGCCCTGTCGTAATCATCCTGGACTAGATTTCTCTTCATCTTTCTGCAAACCCACTATCCTGCCTAAGGTCCTAAACGTACTCTTTTTGCCTACTTGAGAGTATCAATAACATTTTTTTCCCAAGGCCACAGTGATGGTTTGTACACACCTTACTAAGCCATGTTTGTCAATCATGATTAGTGAATAAATTACAATTAGCTGGTTTTATACATTACACAGGGAAAAAAATAAAAATACATTATGGCTTGGTGTGCCACTTTCACTTGTACAGCTGCAATCCCTGAAGACTTATTTTCTCTCTCACAACCTTTCGCCACATTGTTCGTATCCTATTTCACCGTCCGCTCTGTATTTCCAGGATTAAAATCTATTTCCCATTTAGCAGCGGAAGGGAAGCAGCAGAAAAAAATAGCACAGAGTTGTGAGCTGCAGACGCCAAAGCCCATCTGTAATCTTATTTGATGGACTTTCTCCGCATTAGCTTTACTAGATAACCCAGAGTTCTAACACCGATTCGGAAGAAACATTTGTGAACCCATTTTCCATGACTATTTATAGCTCTATGTTTGTCCTTACTGACTTCCTTTCCAAACTAAAAATCTCCAACTGCTATAAAATTTCTTTTATGCAGAAAAAAGTATTGTCAAAATCTACCAAGCTAAAAGCAAACTACCTTTGTGGCTAAATGCCCACCTATTCATTCATAGTAAGAGCCAAGAGGCTGTGGAACAGAGAATCCTCTGTATCTGCTACATGTTTTCTGAATGTCCGTAGTGCACCAGGAAGTGAAATCCATTAGATTCTACTTACTTTGATGCAAAATAAAAAATAACTGTTTGATGCCTGCTAACCTCGCCTGTTTCTTACCCAAAATTGCTCTAAATTGTGCATTTCCCTACGTAGTATCCAATACCTTCCTTGGCAAATTTCCTGAATCTTGCTATGTTTTGAAAAAAAAGATTGAATTAAAATGAATAATTATGACGATAACATGCTGTGACACTAGCTCAAGCAAAATGTCTATTTCCAATAATGCTTTGTGCCCTTAAAAATATTCTTATGAAATGGTGGTGTGGTGCACAGCTTTATTTGGAAGTGCATCCCTCCCTCACCACTGCCCAAAACAAAATGCAAAAACAAACCAAGATGGAGAAAAACATTCATGTGTAGTAGGGAACAGCCTCACTAGCCTGCTTGCAAATCTTTCTTCCAAATTAACTTTCATAGGGAAGAGGGTATTTGTAGGGTTGTTGTTGTTTTTTTGACAAATACAGCATCCAACTTCACTTTTTTGAGAAAAGGAAACAACATGCTTGGATTTTTCATAATAACTGTGACCTGCTTCAGACCTTGTGCTAAGTCAGGATTTTTTTTACCAGTTCATTAAGGAACTGAAAACAGTCTGGTTTGCAAGTGTGAAATCATAATAGGCGGCTCATGTGTCACACTAAGATAAAACACATGAATTCCATTGCAACTTTGTTTTATACATGTGCAAAAGTAATAGTGATATCCGAGGAATGAAAAGGAAAACTATTCTTCCCAGCCCTGATCACTAGGTACTCTTGTATTTTCTGAGCCATTGGCTCTATATCAGTGGTTCTCAACCTGTGGGTCGGGACCCCATTTGGGGTCGATCGACCATTTCATGGGGGTCGCCAAGCAAGGCTGTCCGCCATTTTTTTGTCCACCATTTTTTTGTCCGCCATTTTTTTCCCCTTTTCCAGCGGGTGCCTTACCTCCCTTGGGTTGGGCCAGCTGGTGGTTGGCCTGCTCCGTCTCTGCCGCTTGGCAGCTACGCCTCGGCCGGCGCAGGGGGTGGAACCACGCATGCGCGGCGCTCCCAGGCAGGGAAAGTCCTTGACTTACAACCGGTTGGGTAGTCCTTGACTTACGACCGATTTAGTCCTTGACTTACGACCGGTTTAGTCCTCGACTTACGACCGGTTGGGGTCACGGCATTAAAAAGGTTGAGAACCACTGCTCTATATGATCAATACCAGCAAACAGCCCTCCCTCCTTCCTTTTTGGCTACCCATCTCATGCAATGGGACTCTGGATGGCATACAAAACAACCATAAAAACAATTTAAAAAAAGAATTATTGCAAAAGGCTAAGATGGAGCATCAGATTATAAAGAATAGGGCCATCTAATCAAATGACCATTCCCATGCAATCCCCAGGACTGTTGACGCAACCAAGTTTTAAGGGATTTCCGGAAGGCCGACAGACGGGGCTAATATCACCTTAGGGGAGATGATATTCCACAGGGCTATGCCACGGCAGGAAAGGCTCATCTGCTGGGTTCCTGTCAGATGTAACTCCTTCACAGGCAGGACCCACAACACATCTGTTCTGCTGAAGCTGATGGGGTGGCCAGATGTAACCAGGAAGAAGTGTTCCTCAAATAACCCGGCCCCATGTCACGAAGGGCTTTGAAAGTCAAAACCAGAACCCTCAATTGACCCAGAAGCAAACTGGTGACCAATGTAGGTCGCAAAACAAAGATGTAACATGTGCTGCTCTAGGGACGTACATAACTGCCTGCACCACTGCATTTTGCGGAAACGTCTGAATACTCTTCAAGGGCAGCCTTACGTACAACCTATTACAGTAGTCCATCCAGGAAGTGACCAGAGTACGAGTTGCCTTGAGCACAGCTTCCTGATCCACAAATGGGTGCAACTACCACATGCTTTTTGAGCAGGACCCCCAAAATGCACCCCAGGTCTGTATGGGGCAGTGCAACCCATCCAATACCAAGATGGCAGAGTCTCAGAACCTTAACCCAAAATCCAGAGCCACTCAGTCTTGCCAGGGTTTAGTTAAATCTTGTTGTTCCCCCATTGAAGGCATGGCAATAAGACATCAACAGCAACCCAAAGGTGTGTTTTTTTCCCAAAAGGCAACTGGACTGTCTTTGTTTTTTCCATGAAGATGTTTTGCTTCTCATCCAAGAAGCTTCTTCAGTTCTTGGGTGAGAAGTGAAATGTCTTTAAAGAAAAAAACAGTTGCCTCTGAGACAGCCATGATCTGGATCAGTGTTTCTCAACCTTGGCAACTTTACGATGTGTGGACTTCAACTCCCAAAATTCTCCAGCTAGCAATGCTAGCTGGAGAATTCTGGGAGTTGAAGTCCACACAGCGTAAAGTTGCCAAGGTTGAGAAACACTGATCTAGATGATTGAGAATCTCCACAGACAACAGCAACGTTTAATTTGCCAAGGGCAGACGCATAACTGTATTTCATCAGCATAGTGATGATGCCTCAGACCATGGAGATGGGTGAGCTTACCAGGCAATTTCTTTAGATGTTGGAAAGGAGAGATCACCAAACCGTGTGGAACCCCACCCAGCAGAGCTGAGGGCAGGATCTTTCCTCCCCAATCACCACTAATATCAACCCCAGAGAAAGGAGAAGAATCAGCGCAACAGTGCGCCACAAATCCCCATCCCTGGATCCAATCCAGGATATCATGGTCGTTTATATCAAAGGCTTCTGAGAAGTCCAGAGTTAAGACGGATGCATTACCACCATCCTGCTCCTGCCAAAGGTCATCCAAAAGATGTGACCAATTCCATTTCCGTCCCTTATCCATCCCTCAATCCAGACTAAAAGGAGTCGGTTTCATTCTGCATTCTTTGAACATATTGTGTGACCATCTTTTCCAGCATCTTCCCTAAAAAGGGAAAGGTTTGATACTAGAACAAAAGTTGTCCAGCATAGTGGGATCCAGGGGTAGCTTCTTGAAGAGGGGCAAACCAAGGCCTCCTTCAGAGGCAAAGAAACAAATCCCCCAACCAAGGAATTCACTACCAGTAGAACCCCCTGGCATGATAGTCCCTGGGCAGTTTTAATTAGTCAGGAGGGGCATGGGTCAAAAGAGCAGGTGGCCAAGCTCAATCATGATGACCCCATCTATTTTCTCAAGCTTGACAGCTCAACTGTTCTCAGATAAACAGGGCAAGAGTCTGCCTCAGATACTCCCTAGGTCAGTGATGGCGAACCTTTTAGAGACCAAGTGCCCCAAAACCACCCTGCCCCCGCCCTGCCCGCCCCGCCTGCCCTCAGGGCCACCCACTGCCTCCACGGGCCACCGCAGATCGCCCAGGCGGCCCAGCAGCGCCATAGTGGCCACACCCTCCCCCTGTGCCCTGCAGCAGCATCTGAGCATGACAGAGCGCGAGGGCAGAGTCTTGTCCCTGCTACTCGGTTGCCATGTCCTTGGCTGCGCTGCTCTGCGAGGGCCGCGCCCGGGAGCAACTCTCCTCCAGGGGGCTGCTGGTGAGGAGGGGCCGCGGGGGGAGGCAGGGCTGGGGTGACAGCACGTGTGCCCACAGAGAGGGCTCCGAGTGCCGCCTCTGGCACGCGTGCCATAGGTTTGCCACCATTGCCCTAGGTGCTGCAACAAGAGCAATGTCCAACTGCAATGGAATTTGGATGATTTTATTTGACAGAAGCTGAGCAAATTCTTCTGCACGACCCTGCAAGGGGGTCTCTGAGCCCCCTCCATCCAAGAAACAGGCTTCCAGGATGCCTATCTGCAGATGCAATAAGGGCACAGATGTTTTATTACTTTGGTGCCCTTGCCATCACCAGGTAGGTCTTAATAATGGCTCTTACCCGTGTTGGGTCACACTTGTCCCTTGTTTTCCTGCGAACGACAGGATCCACAAGAGGAGAGAGGATGCATAGGCATGATCCTGTCTAAAGACTCAACAGCCCTCCAATTCCAAATAGCAAACAAGGCCTCAGATGCAGCGTGTAGCAAACCTCTGAAACCCCTCAGGGTCCATCAGTGCTGAGGGCGGTCTGATCTGCCTCCTTCAAGGCACATGTGACCATGACAAAGGGGGTCACTAAGAGTTCCCCCATTCCAGATCATATTGCCATTGCTTGGACAGGAAATCAGACCACACCTGTGATGGGCTCTGGATGATCTGGGACAGGCCCATGGTTGTGATGGCAGTCACGAAGTCCTGAGCTACCTATGACCACAAGCTTAAAGAAGGTCGATTAAAGTCCCTAGAAATCTGGGGAACTAGCAACAATCTCAGCTGACTCCAAGAGGCCAGTTTAATGAACAAGGTCTCACATTCGGCAACCTGTGGAGCAGCCCTTGATAGCCTGAAGAGACTCTTTGATGACAATCAATATCACTCCTTGCCAGGAGTCTTGGTTGATGCCATACCAGAACCCCAGCTGGGCACATTATAGAAAGGGCCAACCCCTCCCTTTCAGTCAGGTCTCAGTAATACAAGCCACTAAATTTATAAATGCAGTAATAGATACCTACGGCTTAAATCTGTACCTTTCTTTGAGTCACTGCCAGCCGGTTTCTCGCCTTCCTTACTTTCTTGATTGGCCCGATCCTTTTGCTTCTTCTTATTAGTTGCATCGTCCATTCCCCGAGCTGTTCTCCTCTGACCAGGGACACTGGCACTGCTGGACATTTTCAGCCGTTTGGAAGAGACAAACAGCCCACCGGGGTCGGTGACAGACTCTGGGTCAGGGGTGCGGCGTTTTCTTCCCGAGCCAGCTATCTTGGCGACTCTTTGTGGTCAATCTCTCTGGCAAGGAACAAATGCCTGGAGACATATGGAAGGATTGTCAGATTAGTATGGCAAATTTAAAAAGGGCAAAAATCCTGAGCAAGTAGAAGCTATACTGAGTTTATTAAAAAAAAAAAAAAAAACATAAGCAGGGTACCAGTGGATCAAACCCCTCGCCCCTCTAGTCCAGCAGTGGCCAGGTAACAGCATCTGGAAATTCACTAGTCTCCCAGTAAATGGCTTTCAGAAGCAGTTCCTCTGCCATCAGAACTAGTAGCCATTGGTACTCTATTTGATGCTACACATTCTAACGGCTTCCAGATTGGTTTATGCTCAAAATTGGAGGAATAAGGGAACTCCAACGGAAGAAGAAATCCTGTATAAAATTTTATCATGTGCAGAGATGGACAGGCTTACAATGGCTATGAAAGATAAGACAGAACTGGAATATTTTGAAATCTGGGACAAATTTTACCGCTGGTATGAATCAAGGAGAACCGCTCGGATCTTAAGCTAACGATAGGATTGAAACATACATANACATACATATAATTGTACATATAATTGTATATATAATTGTATTGTGTAGAAGAATGAGGTTTATATAGAGGTTAAGGATGATGTATTAAGTTTTTGTATCACGAGAAACAAATTGTTAGGAATATTTACTCTGGAATGCCACGTATGTCCATTTTTGTTTTAATTGTATTATAAATAAAAAACTTTAAAAAAAAAAAAAGAACTAGTAGCCATTGATAACCATGACTTCCATGAATTTGTCCAACCTTTTTTTTTTTTTAAGCCACCCAAGCTGGCAGCCAGCAGCACATCTCATGGTAAGAACATTCCAAAATTTGTTAGGCATTGTCTTAGAAAATGTTTCCTTTTGGCTGCCCAAATTATTCCAGGATTCACTTTCATTGGGTGACCTCTGGTTCTGGTGCTTTGGGCAGGGGAGAAATAGCTGTTCCTTGTCCATTTTATTCACATCATGCATAACCTCAGTCACGTCCTCTCTTATTCACCTTCTTCTAGTCTAAAAATCATTCAAATGCCACAACTTTTCTTCATAGGTAAGCTATTCTAAGTCCCTTGGTCATCTTGGTTGCCCTTCTCTGAACCTATGTTCTTTTTGAGCTACCAAAACTGCACAGAAATGGACAATGTGATCCACAACTACAGCAAGCTTTTAACAGAAACCAAAGCATAATGCTTATGCTTGGGTTTTGAAGCTACTAAGCGGTAAGGACAATACTCCTTAAGGAAGGCAATTATTTTAGGCCTTAGCTTGATTTAGAAATAATTGCAAAAGAATAGCACTTTGCGATGAAAATTTTGGCAGAGTATGACTACAGCCCCCACAAAAAGCAGTCAACATAGAAAACCATCTTAAGAGAGAGTGCAATAGGACAAATGGGTGCCTCAGCCGTCATGGGCCAATTTGCTGTCATCTGATATCTTTCCATTATAGTATTAAACTCAGAGCAGCTGAATGCAAGTTAATTTCTACACTGGGCATTGTTGTTATGAATGGGAGCAGAAGCTGGCTAAAATACACAGACAGACAGACAGACAGACACACACATGCCTCACAAAAAGTCCTTGATGTCTTTCTATTTATAGCAATCCCCTATTTTCCTCCCATTGTAGAACATATTTAATATGTTAGCTACACCTTAAATATGCATCAACTTGAGACTGAACCACGTCATAAATATCTCTCAAGCAGTACCCAGAGAATCTCAGCTTGCTAAGGTGGGCAATGCAGACTTCTTGCTAAGCTCCAGGCAGACACTTGTCTAGCCCCATTCCTTGTCAGTAGAGTGCAGGTATCCTTTTAGAACAGTGGTTCTCAACCTTTTTAATGCCACGACCCCCAACCGGTCGTAAGTTGAGGACTAAACTGGTCGTAAGTTGAGGACTAAACCGGTCGTAAGTCGAGGACTAAACCGGTCGTAAGTTGAGGACTAAACCGGTCGTAAGTCGAGGACTAAACCGGTCGTAAGCCGAGGACTAAACCGGTCATAAGCCGAGGACTAAACCGGTTGTAAGTCGAGGACTACCCAACCGGTCGTAAGTCGAGGACTTTCCCTGCCCGGGAGCGCCACACATGCGTGGTTCCGCCCCCTGCGCCGGCTGAGGCGTAGCTGGCAAGCGGCAGAGACGGAGCAGGCCGACCACCAGCTGGCCCAGGCCAAGGGAGGTAAGGCACCCGCCGGAAAAGGGGGAAAAATGGCGGACAGCCTTGCTTGGTGACCCCCATGAAATGGTCGATCGACCCCAAATGGGTTGAGAACCGCTGTTGAGAACCCATAGGTTGAGAACCGCTGTTTTAGAAAGCACAGGAATCTATTTGTCAAATGTCACTTTCAATTTCAATCTCCAGCATTTGTTCAGAACAAAGAGAAAAGAACAAGTTGCTATGTGATGAACTCAAAATAATCTATTTCACTTTCCATATTTATATTTTGTTAATGTAGCTATTAAGAGTCCTCAAAGGTTATTCCCCCCCCCCCCATCTTTTGCATTCTTTATGCATAATGAACAAAGAAGAAGGAAGCCTGGGAACTGCCATTCAAATTGATGTAGTACTTCTCAAGAATTACAAGAAACAAATTATGAATTTCCTACATTAATAGGGATTGACTTCTGAGTCGTTTCAGAGTTCCCTTAACATAACTGACAACTAGTTGTCCTTATCAATTTA